GATAATAAATAAATGATTATTATATTGAAAATATTTTTACTAATAAAATGAAAATATTTTAAATAATGTAAATAGTTTAATTTTATATATCTGAACATATAGATTTACATAGAACTTGGCACTATTAAAGAATATGCGTTGTTTTCAAGAACACATGGACTATTAACAGGAATTGTTCATAACCAGATGCTATATGATTTCTCAACAAAATTATTGACTAAAATTAAATTAAATTAAAACCTAATAATAAATAGTGAGCACTCCCTCAAAAAGACCTTTATAAACTAAAAGCAAAAAGTAAAATTTCTTGTAAATAGTCCATGGGTTGAAAATGAGAATTACAATGTTGAACAAAACAATGAGAAAGCTTCAATGGTAAAATGTTTGTTATGCAGCTAAAATGTACAAAAATGAAAATATATATACTTAAGTGGGTGTAACAGGAAATAAGACATATACAATTTAATGAGCTAAGCTTTCTTCTTAAAGCTAGGTTTGGTGGCACAAGCTTGTAGTCTCGCTTACTCAGGAGGCTGAGGTGGAAGGAACACTTGAGTGCAGGAGTTCAAGTCTAGCCTGGACAACATAGCAAAAACCTCTTACCTTCTCTAAAAAATCCACTGTGGTGCCAAAATGTAAAACATAGATTCTCAGAGAATAAGGAATTCAAATTTTAAAGATTTGCCTAAAGGAAAAATTTCTCAACTTGGAAACCATGCCCATCAATAGCTTTGATTTATGTGTAACCTATACGTGTTCTGTATTCAATAGACTACTATGCTGTTATAAATGCATTAATATAGTCAATTTAATGGGGAAAAAAACCCTCAGTTATTCCAAAGTAGAAAGCAGATTATAAAGTAATATGCATTCTATAATCCATATATGCTAACTATAGCTCTTTTTATGGGTATATATGCAGAGAGATTAAGCACAAAAATCATGGCAGCTTGGGTGGTGATATACTAGGAGACTTTTTTTTGTTCCTTTTTGATTTAGTTCACCCACTTTTTCTTTTTTTTCAAAACAAATATCTATACTTTTATTTTGAAAAGACAGAAACTTTAAGAGTAGCTTTGGAGAACAAGTTGTACATTTATGCAGAATTACATATCTGTACATTGTTGTTTTTCTTCAGATGCTGGGTATTGAGCCTACAATTGGGTTTCCGGAAAGATCTAAGTTCTCTTTTGGCATACCAGCACTTTGACTACACACACACACACACACACACACACACACACACACACACACACACAGATACACACACCATTTAAGGTATGGAGAACAGTTTAAACACGTAAATGTACTGTACCTCATTAGAGATGGATTGAAGCTGTTTTATTCTAGTGGCTAATTGATAGACCTTTTAATGTCATCTCAAGGTCGAGAAGCCAAATATATTATTCCACGTTCTGAATAGTTTGGTAACCTTTGTCTTTCTTTGTGAGAAAAGAACTGTGTCCATCGTGGAAGAAAGTGTGATCTCTGTAACAGCAGTGTAAGAGAGGCAAGATCACAGAGAGTGATTTGGCAAATGTTAGGTTATGCTCTGTGTCATCACTCCTTGTGTTTCAGAGGGATAACATTTACCTCTGTTTTCCCCACATATGCTTCTAATGCTTCTGCTTTCAATTCTAGGCCAGGTTTTGAAAAAATCAAAAACACCTTTGGTGGGTTCCATAGGAGACTGCAAACACTTTGTGTTGAAGCAGGTCCTGGTGGGAGTGATAACATAGGCTGGGTAGAGAGGGCCTGCTGCTGGGCATCCTGCCTCCAGCCTTGCTCTACATCAGAAAAAGTCCATGCATCTGTGTTCTGCTGGCTGCCTGGCCTGCCTTAGACACACCAAAGCCACAGATCCCTCTGGGCTGGGAGGGCAGAGGAAGAAACACAGTGCTCTGTGGACCAGGAGGAGAAACCCCCCAAATACCAAGAACGTTTCTGAAAAATGGGATATCTATCCTAAGAGATGCTGAAAAGAAATAGGAAATTTAGTCAGCGACCTTTCTTGTCTCTTGATGCTCAGATCTTTTAGTGACAGGTTTCCCAACCTTCTCTTTAACTGTTTCCTCCAATTTCTTCTTATTATCCTTCCTCTGATTCATGCATCTCCATGAAAGCACCACACACATTCATTTTTGAGGAAATTTCTTGGTTTGCATTTTCAGCAAAGCATCTTTGTGCATGTGCAGGCCAGCATTCATTTGTAGTCCGCTTGTAAGAACTCCAAGGGTTCATGGAGATAATTTTCTCATCCTATACACAGCCTATTACAGAAGAGACATGGCTCCCATCAAGGGATCTGTGCCATTAGAACATTTGGTTTCTAGTCTCCCAAATCCTCTTTGTTTTTGATCGTGACATTTCTTCACGCTCGGATGCATACATGATGTAACATTCTTTGTTGATGTTCTGAAATGTGTTTTAGAGTTATTTTGGCTTCCACAAAATAAGAATGGGGTGCAAAACTTTCTGGTTGAAATGCTAATCTTCGGGGCTTTTTCTTTTGCTTTTCTCCTGCTTTTCGGTACCATGCATATTTGTAAAGCTTTACACCCAAGACTGGTATTTAATAGATCCTAGACTGTTTTGTGGGAAACAGGGCAAATGAGAAGTCTCTCTAGGGGATTTGTGGGCCTTTATTGTGGTGCGGGAGTATGCCCTAAAGGGGAGATCCTCGCAGCCTAATTGTTGAGGAGTGATAGAAGCTCAACAGCATGGAAACTCTTACTTCTCGCTTCAGCTAAAAAGGTGCTTATAAAGGTAGCTGGGCTATTTTAGCAATTTGCCTTATTTCAAAAATCCAATTCGGTAGCTTCATTAAAGGGCACTAATTTAGTGTCTTAGGGGAATATATGTATAAAGGAGCTTGTCAACAATCTTAGATGTTTTCCAGTGTGTAGATGAGCTCAACTCCCCAAGCTGGGGTTACCTGGTTACATGCATGCTCCTTCATTTCAAACATAATACAAAATAAACTCAAAAGCCCTCAGACCAAGAGAGTAACAGAACCACTCCCTCTTTCCCAAGTACTGCCTCCCATTCCTCAAGTTAGGGGGCTCTTGCATAAACACATCTGCAGTTGACATAGTCAGTCTGTCACCCAGAGGTTTAAAAAGGAAGACAATAGTTTTAGTTAGTTTAGTGATGGTTAATATATACAGTCTAAGGGCCTTAAAGGATGATAACTGTCTTAAATTGTTTTAAAAAAAAATAGAAACACTTTCTGAATGCCTAGAAGAATCACTTATTGCTCACTGCCTGCCTAATACTCCCAAGGGTATATTTCAGTCCCACATTGGGACAAAAAATTTAAAGTTGAGTAGCTGAATGCTAATTATCTACATAGCCTCAAATAAACTTGAGCCTTCTACAGTTTATGTTGACAAAATATTGTGAGAAAAGATAGAAAATAGTTGAAGCACATTAAACTTATTCTTTGGGATGCTTTTTTTAAAAAAATAAAATAATAAAGCTTAAAATCCATGAAATACTACAATAAATATTGTCATCGAGTTTGTCAATACACAGTTAAGCTATGAAAACAGTTTTGTTTTTTCAAATAATCACTAGAGTGTGTGCTAAGAACACTGAGTTCTCCCTCCCCTCATTTAATAGCTATAATTTCTAATCCAGTTTATAGGACTGGGTTCCATTTTAAAAAATAAACTCTCAGAGTGGATTCTGATTTTTTTTTTTTTTTGTAGAGACTTTGTGTTATGAACAAGCTGCCAAGGTTTCCTATTAATAGATTACCTGTCTATCCATTCAGGAGATGCTGCAATATGGTTTTGTCCAGAAGAGAAATCAAATACACTAACTTTCTTCCTATGCAGTCTCAATTTCCCCCAAAGAAAAATAGGTTTTTCGGAATGCCTTGAGATGAAGGAAACGATAGTAAATTAGAAATGCTTTCATAATTTTCCTTTAAATTTTATATTTCTTGAAGGAGAAAATACCTGTAAAAAAAAAAAAACACTTCTGGAGATGACTAAGTAAAAATGATAAGGATATAAATCAAAGTAACTGTTCTGAATTCATTGGGTTTGGTTTGTCTGAAAACTCATACAGCAGATTCATTCTTATTCTGGTGAGAGCTGAACACCAAGGGAGACAATTTCAAATCGTTGGAAAATAATTACCTATTCAACAAGGGTCAGTACAACCTTATACTGTTTTTATAGTCGTTTCTAGAAGTACACATATCATTTATTTGAGATTTATAATCAATATCTTAGCGCATATGAACATGGGCCACAGCTATAGAAATCAGGTTTCTGTAATAATGCAAAGTCATTTATCTTAATAAATCTGTTCGTAATGTCTGTCATTATGGGTGGGCGTTCAATAAGTGAAACTAAAGGGATGTGGAAAATTTCATGACATGTTTTATATGCTAGTTATTTATTTGTTGTATATTCATGGGGTTACTAATTACAGCTGGTAAAAGTTGATTTTCTCCTCTTCAGTTTATTGTAAGATGGGGCGTTCATTTCACCAGATACATAGTTATTCAGTGTCTACATTTCAGAAACTGAATTGCTGGATACAGTCAAAATGAGCTTTGGCAATTCTATGTGTGAGTGTACAACTATAATTTTGCTGCACATTAATAACAGTCTTGCAAAGAAGCCCAAAATCAAATGCCTTGCTCTCGGCTGGGGTCAGAAAGCTAAAGTGGTATATCTTGGCTGGTGACCTGTAATGTTGGAAAAGCAGGCTCTACATTCACTCAGAAGGGGTAGGTGGCGTTTCGGAATTTTATTCCCTCTTCTTCACTGAGCCTTTTCCTTTTTTTTTCTTTTTTTCTCCTTGTAATGTGTTAGTGAGTGCTGAGACAATTAAAAAAAAAAAAACTGAATTGCAGATAATAAAAATAGTGCCTCTCTAGAACAAGCGGTAAAATCAAGGCTTTTATTTCTTCAGGTGTCAACTCTGTTCCTTCCCCAAGTCCTACCCTGCCCAGCTTCTGCAGCACCTCAGTGATTCCAACTCAGTGATCAGGTGGGCAGCGGTCTGGGCAGTCATCCACAGGGAGTACGCTTGGTGCTGCACGCCCGGACTTGCAGTCTTGGTCAAAGCAGAGAATCTCCAAGAGCTCCCAGGCTACGGATTCATTCGGGTGGGGCGAGGTGTTATTATTGTGGGATTGTCTCTGCAGAGTTGGCCTGGAGAGTGAGCGCTGGAGGGAGTGGAGCAAGTGTCCCCAAGAGTCCAGGAGCGCCCCCCCAGACGGGTGTGCTGGAGGGCTCGGGCACGGGGAGAGAGAGAATTCCTGCCTTCTGGCTGGGAGCAGGGAGGCGGTGTGGCGGGGCAGGGGGCAACGTGCCAGTTTTCTCTCTGATTAATGATGCTCACGCTGCTGCGCGTGGCTCATGCGCTTTGTCTCCAGCCTTAGGGCTGGCGGAGAACAGCCCAGGGAACGAGTGGTACCGCGGTCGCCCGGCGCACCCAGCAGGTGCCATCCCTCTGGATGGGCCAGTTCTGGATGCTCCCCAAGGGACAGAGGCCGCGACACCGCCAGGCGCCTGGCTGCGGCCACCTCCCGGGTGTGGCGGGTCTGGGGCCCGGGGTCTCCGGCCGGAGCAGCTGCAGAGCCACGTGCAACACGCGCGTTGCTCTCAGCCCGGGCTGGGACCGGACGCATCCGGGGCTGCGGGGAGGAGCCGGGCGCCGCCCCCGGCGGCAGTGCCAGCCGCGTGGGAGGGCACGGACCGGCGGAGGGGCAGACGACGGAGGCGGCCAAACAGGAGGAGCGGGACCGAGGGATCGGCCGAGGCTGGCTGGCTAGGGGTGGGACTGGCAGCGCCACGGACAGGTGGGAGCAGCCAGACAGCCCGAGAGAGGGAGCCCAGAACGCAGCGAGAGCGAGAGCGTGAAGTAGGCAGGGAGAGGCGCCCGGAGAGACAGACAGCCGCACGCGCGCGCCTCCTCCCTCCACGCGCCCTCCTCGCACCGCGCGCAGCGGCCAGGAGCGCCGAGTGGGAGAGGACCGTGGGCACAGGAGGCCGGAAGAGGGACGCTGCGTTGCTGGCGGGACGGAGGGATTCGGACGGACGGACGGACCAGCGCACAGACTGGCAGCCTGCGAGAGGGGCAGCTTCGAGAGCAGAGCGCAGGCTAGCGGGAATCCCGCGCGGAGCTGCTGGTCGGACCGACAGACGGTCGGACTGACAGACGCGCAGACGGACAGAAGGGCAGACGGGAGGCGGGGGCGCGTTCACTCCCCGCGGCCGGCCAGGCGGAGCAGGCGGCGGTGGCACCTTCTGAGCGCGCCCGGAGCGGAGACCGGCGGCAGCAGGTGCAGCGGGGACGCCAGCCGCGACCGAGCCGCCGCCGCCGCAGCCCTGGCTGCCACAGCTGTGCGGAACTCCAGCCGACACTGCAGAAAGCTCCGTTTACTAGCAGTTAAATAAATCAACCAAAATCCAAACAAACAAACCAACCCAACAACAACAAAGCCAAGCCAAAAGCCAAAACAAACAAATCCAGCCAAACCAATCACTGAGAAACAATACTATTAATAAAATCCAAAACTAAACCAAACCCATCAAGGCACCAAGACGCAGGGGGGATATCCACTGTTCGATCAAGGTAATAACCGAGGTCTTCCGACGTGAACATTGCACGCCTTTTGTGGCTTTTTAGAATTCCTTCTTTCTTTCTGCCATATATCTGTGTGTCTATTTTGAATTATTTCTTGTCTGTATTTCTCGTGTTTGTAGAAAGCTGATGTTGTTATACATGTATTGTGTTTTGCATGTTTCGTCAAGGAGGGATGGACGCTCCTTCCCCCAAAAAGGAAATGGAAAGCTGGAACTAAATTGAAAAGGGCAATGTTTTTCGTCGGAGAAGTCTACAGTGATTTCTATAGGCGTTGAGGTACAAAGTTTGCAATGCTCTTTTTGAAAGAGACCTATTGAAGAGGTAGAAAGTTATACTCTGTTTGTTGTCCTGGCAGGATTGGGGTCCTAGGTCCCAAGCGGCTTAGGGGGAAGAAAAGAAAAGATGTTCAGTTTTATTTTTACATGCATGAAACCTGTGCTTCGTCACAGTCACCAATTTACTTTCTGTCTCAGGTTGTAGATATGGTGGTAGAATTGAGTTGAATTAGACAGGTGTTTCGAAAGTTTCTTAAGAAGAGAATTAACTCACTCAATGTTTATGCATAGAAATATAGCTGGGGTGGATGTGGCTGCTGTCAGCTATTCAGGTTTGCTACCTGATCACCTTCTGAAGATGTAGGATAAGGACAGAATCCAAGCCTACGAGAGAGAGAGAAAAAAAAAATAGAGAATTGAAAGTTATAGGGGTGGGCAGCTAAGAAATACAAAAGGCTGATAGAAATCATTTTCATTAGAATGTGGTTAGAGTACAGATATTCATTTTGATTTTTGATTTCTTTCAGTTTTTTGATTTTTGATTTTCTACCAGTATGACCCTCAGCCTCTCAAAACAAGAAGGATATTCCTCAAAGTTGAAATGAATCTATATAAGATTTTGTTCAAATGAAGAATCAATTCAAATGATTCCTAACCCCTCCTCATCTACTTTGGAGATAAAAACTGCTATGATTATTTTGAGTAAACAGACAAGTGGAGATGACAGGAAATCATTTTTCATTTGTTAAAAATCAGAAAACCTTTGACACCCACTTTAAAATAAATACACCTACTCCTTTGATCTTCTGTGTATGTATTACCACAGGGCTTAAATATCTTAATAGGATTTTAGGTAATGTCATTTTCATGAAAGACAGTCATTTGGAAACCAACAGCTCTATGTTTTGTCCAAATAGCCGAGTAATCTACTATCTTGGCAGTAATTGCTTTTGCTGCATTTCTAATGTGTATTGCATGAAGAGGTTATGAATACACTCAAGTGTGTGTGGTTTTCAAGGTATGTATTTGTGTTTGATCCTATATTTCCTTTGTTATAACATTCTCCTACTTTTCATCACTTTGACTAATAGAATATTTGTAAATTTTCTGGAGAGTGAGTTTGGGCATATGCTTTGAGGGATATGCTTCCGCATCACAAAAGATATGGAAACATAATTGATTACTTGCTTATCAATAATATTTTGATTTTGTTTAAATGAAATTTTTAAGACATTTGGATTGCTATGCATTTATGTTTTAAATTTACCCTCTCTGGGCATGTTTTGATAAATAAAATAACTAAGTTACTTTAGAAAAACGCCTATTAAACAGAGTACTTTGTTTAGAGAAGGTATATTTAAAGAAACTTACACAGCTAAAGAAATTGACTTTCGTCTTCTCAGTGACTTAATTTCACTACCTGCTGATTTGTCCTTTGCAGTATTTAGCTCAGACCAAGACAGAATCGTGTGTGCTGTTAGGTTTGCAAATTGCTGATCTCCCAGTGACTTTCCCTCTTAGATCCCAGTTGAGTATGGTTACCTTGAGAACTGTGGTATTAGCCGTGTTAGAGCATGCTCCACTGGGGAGTTCTGTGCAGTCTATTTTTAATGCTATTTAATGAAGGAGCGAGCGCCTCACTCAGCAATAAAAGAAGCATGAGGGAAGACAGAGCAGTGCATGGTTATGGATACTGGACAAGGATATTTGGAAAGGTGAAGACTGACCACTGACTATGGTAATTTTAATTAAGTCCTAATATATTGTATGAATGGAAATATTGATTTTTGTTAGAGAATTATACATGAATAGTTCAATGGATGTTTTCGTAAACCTCTTCACTAGTTCTTAGAAAGAAGACTCAATAATTTGAGTTTTTAAAACTTGAGGGAGATACTAACTGGGAAATTCCTGCATGCATACTATTTTTAATGCAAGCTGTCATATTCTTGGGTGGTGAGAAGCGCAGAAATAATTTCAAATTCCTAAAATATTGTTCTGGTGAAAGGTTTGGAGTTCGTATAACATTCTGCAAATAAAATAACTAATGTCGTTCTAAGATACTACAATAACCTGAAGCTCTGCCTTGTGAATTGCTTCATTTTCTTTTATGAACTTGGAGTCTAGGTCCAGAATTGTGACAACTCGAGGAAGCAGGAAGTTTTGATTGAACTTGTTAAGAATATTTGGGTTGTTTTCTCTCCTTAGCATTAAGATAAGCATCACAGGTTATCTTACTGAAGATTAAATATTTTAAATATATATATATATATATATATATATATATATACACATATATATATATATATATATATATATAGCAGAGGCAGCACTGATAACTTTTGGCAAGTTGTAATGAGGGGCAAAATATCTTAGCATTATAGTGTGTACAATGCAAGAAGCCATCTGTCTGCAACATTTGCATATATACAGAACACCTGTCTTGAGGTAGAAAGTGAGAATGTTCAATCAGAAAGGTCTTGTGTTGATTTTCATATTAACAACCTACTATAATCAAGTTATTCTTTTGTTCAGAGTAAAGCTAATTAGACAAAATGCTTAAGTAGTTTCAAAGTTAATAAACATAAGAGAAAGTAAGCAGTTTCTATTAGATGGGCAAGTTAGTCATATAATTTTTAAATAAAGCTGTTAGAACAATGTGCAAAGTTGATCTGGATTTTTGCCAATTCTTATGAAAAAGGATCCCCAAAAATAAACTACTAAGGAAAATACATCACAAGGAGTTACTGTGATTTTTGTTTGTCTTTTTGACTTAGTTCTAGAGGAGGAAAACAACTCACACAGGGTAAAATATTTCCCTTAGTGGTCATGCCTTTTGGACCACAATGCTGATACCTTTCTCAAGCTTCTCAAATCAGTGGGCATTCTCATCTGAATTCAATGTCTATTTTGTCTGTGGACAAGATAATGATAAGCTACATGAGTAGAGCGTAGGATGAGTCAGCCACTGAAGACACAATATACAAGGTAGCCAGAAGTGAATATGATTGAGAATTCTCATTAGTATGAGGAGACAGTTGGACGTCCATAAGGTTGGAAATTACAAATTAATCATTTGTCTATAAGTCAGTTTAATTCAGATCTGCTTTGTGACAAGGTTAGGAAAGAATGTGGGGCTTAAAGGTGATGTCGACAATGAAAGCCATTTCTTCATATGGTAAGTACTGGCATCATTCTAACCGGTATCACATGGTAGTAGCCTGTTTAGAAATTTGTGAATCTTTAATCACAAAAAGAATTGACTTCCTTAAAAATGCATTATGTCATCTGGAAAGTTCTTAATATATTTCAAGTCAGAGATGATGCATTTGCAAAATATATACTTCCTCTCTTTAGACAAAGGACCTTTATGATTCCAGAAGCTCTACATTTCTGTGGACTTTGCCTTCTTTCATTTTTTATTCTAGTGTTTACTGTTAAATATGATAAATGAATTACAAGCAGCAATGAAAGCAAATGCTGAAGGACTGTTGAAGGAAAAAAGGAATATTAACAAGATGTATTTGTAACTAGATTTGTTTTTCTTAGAGTGTCTTTGCTTCTGAGTGTTGTTTTCCTTTAGGTGGCTTTATGCCAAGTTTTAATAAATTGATTATTTGTAGTGTCTTAGTGTTATAATTTAATTAATTTTGCTCATCTTGAATTAATTTGGGCCCTAGATACTGAAGTATGTATTACTTGTATTTTTACATCATAGCCAGTGGTCTATAGGATTAGGTATGAGCTGAGCTATAAAGTATTTAAATTATATACATAATGTTTCATAAAGAATAAAGTGCATGAGAAAGAATATCAGGTTTATTGAGCAGTTTTTAAATGTCTGGTAACATTGTCATTTGTAGTCTTAAAATCTTCTGTGGTCTGATGATATTTTTTTTTAGGCATGAAATGCTCATATAACATTTTGAATGCACCTTTCTCTAAACTTACTGGGACATATCTGTGCTTTCAGAAATCACAATGCAGGCAAACCAAAAAAGTGAATTGAAATAATTACATCAAGACAATGAAGGGGATGTTGAAAAACAAAGGGGTTTGCTTGAGTGCATGAAATTGCTGTCTACTTTCAGACGGAACCCTTAGCATCATATTATGCTTCTTTTTTGTGTGTCATTATTATAGATCCTGGAATTGCCAGGTGGAGAGAATGTTAATCACTGTCCATCGTCACAGCAGATCAGTATTTTTAAATTTCCTTACACACTTTGCCCAAAGAAATGTCTTTTGGCAGTTCTATAAGCCCTGTTTAATATGTCTTTCAATGGGACAGGATTAATAGATTTTTGTATACGTTTTGTAATAAAGTGATGTGTATTAGGATACAGCTGTAATTGTGACATTAAAATGTTGAAGCATTAGTCCAAAATTGTCTCATTCAAGGGATCTATTCATAATTATTTCTCAGTCATAAATTCATATGTTTTAAAAGTAATATACGTTGCAGTTGTTCCTGTTACCTAGCAAAAGAAAATCACTTCATTTTATCCAGGTAAAGAGGACAAGTGTCCACTAATAATCATCCCTTTTAAAAACAGGCCTTTTACTACATTCTCACATTTCACACTACTTCAAGAAGATACAAGTCTTAAATTAGAAATCCGTTATGAATAACACACAAAATATTAAGATTTTATTAACAAAATCCCTCTGGTAAACAATAACATTGGTTTTAAGATAATTGCAAATAAATTTGGTTTTAGTTTAAGGGGGGGATTTAAGATTTTTAACAGGGAAACAATTACGTCACTTTTTATTTCAAATATTTCAGCAAATTTTGTGGAGTGTTTTGGTATATTTGTGGGCAATGTTTCTCTGCAGAATTGCAAAGTGCAATATACCATCTTTTTTTCTGCAGCTTTTTCATTGGAACAAATTCACAAAGCATATCTAGCTAGATAAGCCCAGTCATCTTTCACTGATACCCACACAAATTGGGAAATAATTCCTTGTGATAGAGATATCCAAAAAAACTCAGTGGTTCCATGGCCAAATTTAGTGCAGGAACTCTTAATAATGGACAAGCATTCTTTTCCATTTTTATTATCCTTGATTGCTTCTTTATTATACACTAAATACTTGAGATAAGAACAAGAACTCTCTCTAGGGAAACAGAAACCAGAGAAATGGTTTTCATATAGTTAGCAGATTTCCCTTTAATTGCTAAGATACTATACTCATTCAGAACATTCTAGTCCATTGGATCATACACTAAAAAAAGATAGTTTATGCATGTTGATATATTTTTGGTCTAGTTCAAATTGAGAAACAAGCAGTGAAGTAAAATATTTCCATATCTTTAAAGGACAAAATTGAACAACCACTTCTAAAAGTTTTATGGTCCTGTGAGTTGTGATAAAATATCCTTTATCCTTTGACATGTAAACCAGAAGGCCCAGCTATCATCTAATTGCTCAGTGATTCAAGTTGCTTTCAGATTATCTCACTAATGTTACACAGACCTAGAAAAATCGAGCTACTGGTCAATAAAGGGTGAAGGAAGGGCATGTCAACTCACTGAAATTCAGTGACTCCTCATACTTGTTTAAATTTTATTTGCCTATAAATTCAATGGAAAAAAATGGAAAGCTAACAAATTTATTTTTCAGCTTTTTGCATGTTTCTAAAATCACAAGCTAAAGTCCTCACAAAAAGTTCTAACATAGAGAAATAAATACATATCTATAGTCTGGATTTACATGTTTTCCTTAGCATTTTGCTTGTTAATATGTATGTAACTTTGCTGGAAATCCCAGTGTTGCTGGCATCTGATTTGATTTAATCATCAAAGAGCTTTTGGACAGAAAACAAGTAGATTCGATGTGAGTATGTGACAGAATCAAGATTTCTGCAGCATTTGCAAGCTTTAACTACTCAATGCTTCTTTAAAACAATTTTTAAATGGGTGTAAAAAGGCTTTTGGTTAAAAATACGGTACTTTATTCTCTTTGTTTAGAGAAAGAAGATTAAGGTTTTTAGTCAAATCATCATTCTTTAAGCCAATGTAGCACATAGCTCTATTAAAATTGCTATGGAATTCTACCAAATTAATTAATTGTTAGAATCCTACAGTCATATTTATGATCTTACTTCTTGTATCTGGCCTATAGGAATGATCAAGCTAACACTCTTAGATGGCTTTGTTTATATTCTTTTTAATTTTAAATTTATTTAGATATGCTGATGTTGTAAGAATTTTGGGAAATTGTCAAACAACTGGCATTGCACTAAATTCAGAAATTTCACATCAAAGAACTAGCTGGTATCAATGATTCGTCATTTTTTTCACTCCCGTGTCATTTAACTTTGGCCACAACATTTTTTTGTATGTGAAGACTCAAATTTTTCTCATAATCATTAATTTTCACATAATCACTAATAGCATTCTGGAATGATAAGATAATCTAGCATATAATCGTGTTGCATACACATGCGACAGCTATCCGCTTACCATCAGCGTTGTTAAGCACTCTAACAACTGAATGCCTTAATCTTTAATTGTCATTATAAGTATTGTCTTCAGTCAGAACTTTGTATGACTTGGTTTTTAGTGTTTCTTCAGCGTCAAGAGGTAGGAGAGTATACATAGCTAATGTGATCGAATTTATATATTGCAACAAATTTATACATCTTCCAGGATAGGAATGCAAATATCCCTCCAGCAGGGAAATTATTGTATTCCAAAAATAATTGTAATGTCTGTGTTAATTGTCTGATATAATATGGAAAGCTGTAGATAGAGATATTTTGAATTTAGTGGAGCTTCTGATTGAGATTCATATTAAAACTACTAGAGAGGTTGTATACCAAAAGTATGCTAGGAGCCCATCTGAGAAGGAGCCAGGTAAATGAGCTGTAAGCAATGAAGGAAGGCTTTACCAAGGAGGCGCATGGGCCTCCGGGAGATTCTGCACCTTAGAGAAATGCACAAAATTAGGATTAAAATGAAAGGTCCAGGGAAATAAGGGCTAAAAGTGGTGTATCTGAATGTCACTTTCTGTGACTTAACTTCATATGTATGCAGTTCACCACCTGAATTGGTACATGGTACCGGTGTTTGGCTTCTGGGTCTGAGTAAATAACGAATAGTGTGACTATGGCCGAAGCTCCAAACCTCTCTGTGCTTCACAGTTTCTACAGGTGTAATTGGGCAGTAACAACAGTCCCGACTCAGCAACTTACTAGTTGTGTGACGCTGGCAATTTAGTTAACTCCTCATTGCTTCGACTTTCCCATTTATAAGGTGGGAATAAGACCTACCTTGCGTGGTCAAAGCAGAAGCAAAGCACCTGACTCATGGGTATTATTCACGTAAAAGAAACCACCTTCCTTTCACATAAAAAATTAGACAGAGATTGACTCTTCTTTCTTTTAAGGATCCACACCTCCGTTTAAGAAAAACAAAAGCCTTTTCGTAATTTGGAATACAGCTCTCCTTCATTTTTATCCCATAATATTTCTGATGATTAAAATTGGTGATGCTTGACTCTTTCTGTGCTATGAAATACTGAAGGCTAAGCCAAGGTAGTAACTAATCTCAGAAGTGTTCATTGTTTAAGGAATATGATGGTTAATAGGGCCATAATCTTCTGTCAGTTCGTAAGGGAAGAAATGGTCTAATTCAGTGTTGTCTAAAAAGTAACATATGGGTATTGTTTCTCTAGAACATTCTAGTTGCCTAATTTCTACCATTTAAACGGGGTGAATAAAAAAACAAATCATTGAATAGGAAACAACTGGAATGAATCCATGAAGGAAAAACCTAAAATTCTGCATTAGTGGATGGGAGCAAGGACTAACAGCATATTTGAGGTGACATGAGAGAAACATTTCTCTAATCTGCAACAAAGCTTTGGCCTCACTGAAGGGTCCTTGGCACTCCCACAGAAGGCTTCGGCTTCCTGTCTCCAAGCACTGAGTGAGCTTTGGATGGGGCAGCCGATCTGGCCTCTGATCCTAAAGTACCTGCATTGATTTTGCTGAAATGAGTCAGCAACTGTGCCTCCGTGAACATGGCCAGAGAAAGGAAAGACTTCTGTCATAACGAGGTTTAAACAATTGGTTCCCCTACCAAAATATGGAGAGCCACAGATAATATCCAGCACAGGAGAAGGTGAGCTATTCAAAGCAGTAGGTGCATCAGATAATTGCATTTTATTT